AGAAGTATCTCTTCTCGCCAGCTGAAAAGATGTCCAAAGTCGGTTTCATTTGCAGGGAAGATGATGGTTTCAGTTTTTGGGGTGTGTTTTTATTGCCTTTCTTCCAAAGGGCCACACCATCGTTGGAGAGTACTCTGTCAAAATTCTGGGGCAATCAACACCAAACGCCCAGCCAGAAAACTGACGAAAGACGCCTTGTTTCGTCAGGATAATACTTCAGTTTCAATGGCAAGTGTGAGTGACAGTAGCTTTGAACTGGCTGATCCCCCTCCAAATTCTCCAGATTTGATTATAATTTGTTCCCCGCTATGAAAGACACATGGCTGGGAACCAGTATCGCAGTGATAATGTCGTCATATCTTCTGCTGATGACCTTTTTTTTATAAACAGGATGAGCAGTGTTCTTTGAACAGACAGATGTCAGTTTACGTGGAAAGAAACAATGCAGTTATTAATAAGAAGAGTTGTAATTAATGCTTGCAAGGTTTCACAGCTCTAGCACTACTCCTTCATAGTCAGCCTATGAACTTTTCAGCTCACACTCCTATGTTGCTTATTTTTCTAACAATAAGATGTCATTAGAATTGATTCCTTGTATTAGGTTTTATTGTTAATTAGTTAATTATTGAATATCACTAAGATTCTCTTTTACTTAATTTGTTCGTATGGTAGTCGAAATTTACGACTAAACTCCCGCCCTCCAGTCAGAGTCACAAGCTGTGTGGCAGCTAAAATTTGGGATAGTCCGAGTAAAAACTCATTTCATATAACAGGACAATATAGCATACGTCTATTAGCATTATGGGGACGGGTTATTTCTCCCTGATTTCATCATTCTAGTATCAGATGTAATCCTTCAAGTCCTAGATTCTAAACTAACATTCAACTGCACCTTTTACGTTTCCTTGGGGTTTTTCGTTCGTTATGTTAAAACACTATATGAACTGTGTCAATGTTAAGTACAGATTGTATAAGTGCGCTATAAAAGAATTTCAGCAGCCAATGAGATTACGCGAAAATTGGTTATTTTATTAATTCCGGTTTCAAGAAATAAACAAGATGGCAGTGTTTTTCTTATACCAATTATTATAATGTCAAAACGAAAAGATAGTTAAAATAAATGTATTTTATGTGGTAGAAAAAGGAAAGGTTTAGCATCGGACGTTAAATATTTATAGAAAACTGATAATCAATTGGGTGGTCAGCATTAATTTGTTTATATTCATTTATTTGTTTGTTTTTAAATTAACAAAAGTGGGTACTAATGCGATGAAAGACAAAAAAAAAAAGAAAACGAAGGTACACGCAAAAGAAAGAAAGAAAGAATAACATATAACAAAGAAAAAGATAGATAGAAAGAAAAAGGAATGAAAAAAAAATAAAATGGAATTATAAATAAAAAAGAAAAAAGAAAGAAAGAAAGAAAGAGAAGGAGCGCCTAAAAGAAAGAAAGAAAGAAAGAAAGAAAGAAAGAAAGAGAAGGAGCGCCCAAAAGAAAGAAAGAAAGAAAGAAAGAAAGAAAGAAAGAAAAGGAGCGCCCAAAAGAAAGAAAGAAAGAAAAAAAGAAAGAAAGAAAGAAAGAAAGAAAGAAAAGGAGCGCTCAAAAGAAAGAAAGAAAGAAAGAGAAGGAGCGCCCAAAAGAAAGAAAGAAAGAAAGAAAGAAAGAAAGAAAGAAAGAAAGAAAAGGAGCGCCCAAAAGAAAGAAAGAAAGAAAGAAAGAAAGAAAGGAAGAAAGAAAGAAAGAGAAGGAGTGCCCAAAAGAAAGAAAGAAAGAAAGAAAGAAAGAGAGAGAGAAGGAGCGCCCAAAAGAAAGAAAGAAAAAAAGAAAGAAAGAAAGAAAGAGAAGGAGCGCCCAAAAGAAAGAAAAGAAAGAAAGAGAAGGAGCGCCCAAAAGAGAAGGAAAGCCCAAAAGAAAGAAAGAAAGAAAGAAAGAAAGAAAGAAAGAAAAGGAGCGCCCAAAAGAAAGAAAGAAAGAAAGAAGAGAGAGAGAGAGAGAGAGAGAAGGAGCGCCCAAAAGAAAGAAAGAAAGAAAAAAAGAAAGAAAGAAAGAAAGAGAAGGAGCGCCCAAAAGAAAGAAAGAAAGAAAGAAAGAAAGAAAGAAAGAAAGAAAGAGAAGGAGCGCCCAAAAGAAAGAAAGAAAGAAAGAAAGAAGAAAGAAAGAAAGAAAAAGGAGCGCCCAAAAAAGAAAGAAAGAAAGAAAGAAAGAGAATAGCGCCCAAAAGAAAGAAAGGAAGAAAGAAAGAAAGAAAGAGAAGGAGCGCCCAAAAGAAAGAAAGAAAGAAAGAAAGAAAGAAAGAAAGAAAGAAAGAAAGAAAGAAAAGGAACGCTCAAAAGAAAGAAAGAAAGAAAGAAAGAAAAGAAAAAGAAAGAAAGAAAGAAAGAAACAAAGAAAGAGAAGGAGCGCCCAAAAGAAAGAAAAGAAAGAAAGAAAGAAAGAAAGAAAGAAAGAAAGAAAGAAAGAAAGAAAGAAAAGGAGGAAAAAAAGAAAGAAAGAAAGAAAGAGAAGGAGCGCCCAAAAGAAAGAAAGAAAGAAAGAAAGAAAGAAAGAAAGAAAGAAAGAAAGAAAAGAGAAGGAGCGCCCAAAAGAAAGAAAGAAAGAAAGAAAGAAATAAAGAAAGAAAGAAAGAAAAGGAGCGCCCAAAAGAAAGAAAGAAAGAAAGAAAGAGAATAGCGCCCAAAAGAAAGAAAGAAAGAAAGAAAGAAAGAAAAGGAGCGCCCAAAAGAAAGAAAGAAAAATAGAAAACTAGTAAAAAAGGAGAAGGAACAAAAGAGAGAAAGAATTACATATAATAAAGAAAAAGAAAGACGGAAAAGAAAGAAAGAAGAAATAATTACAGATAATAAAGAAAAAGGAAGCAAGAAAGAAAGAGAAAAATAATAAAATAAAATTACAGATAAGAAAGAAAGAAAGAAAGAAAGAAAGAAAAAATTTCAGAAGAAAAAGAAAGAAAAAAGAAAGAGGAGTGATCAAAAGAAATAGAACGAACCAAAAAGAAAGATGAAAGAATTACAGACAATAAAGAAAAAGAAGGAAAGAAGGAAAATGAATTACGGATAATAAATAAAAAAGAAAGAAAGAAAATAGAAACACAGATAATAAAGAAAGAAAAAGAAAAATAGGATTACAGATTAGAAAGAAAGTAAGAAAAATTACACATGGGGGAAAAGAAAGAGAAAGAGTGAGTAAAAGAATGCAAGAAGTAAAGAAAAAATTTAAAAAAAACAAAGAAATAGAAATCATCATATCTAATAATGCCTAAATTTACTCAGGCTCAAACACTTCTGGTATTGCTTGGAAAAAACGATATCGTCACAATCACGAAGTTGTAGTTGGTTTCTACACAATATATTTCAATTATTTTTATTAAATTATATATATATATATATATATATATATATATATATATATATATATAACTTTTTCACTATTTCTATTTCTTTTTCTCTTTATCTATTTCTCATTTCTTTCTCTCTCCTCCATTTCTCACTTCTCTCTCTCTCTCGCTCTCTCTCTCTCTCTCTCTCTCTCTCTCTCTCTCGCTGTGATATAGCGTGATATGTATCATCATGGAAAAAAAAAACTGCAGGCCGTTCCGAAATTTGGTTGAGGCATTTTGTGCTCAATTAACACAACCGGCTTCGGAAAAGGGAAGAATCCGCTTCCTCGTTCTCTGTCTCATAACTTTTACAAAATTATATCGTTACTTTCGTGACACGGTCATTAACCGAGAAGAGAAAGTGCAATAAAGGTCAACACACCAGTGACTTTCTTTCCAGGCCAGACAAAATTAATAGCAAAAAGCTGTTGCATATATTGTCAGTATTGACAAAGGCCAATTCTTTTCTTATACAGTATTTTGGCGAAATTTCGACCCATTGAGTCTCGATGTGTGTATGTGTGTGTAAGTGTGTGTGCGTGCGAACGCGTATGTGTGTGTGCGCGTAAGTGTGAGTGTGTGTATGTTCTTCCCTTATCTGCAGCATGTGTTGTTATCTTTCGACCTGAGTAATCAGATCTTCAATGGCAGATGGACTCCAAGTTTTAATGACGCAAGAATTTTCTCCAGGCTCGAAAATTGAGACATTTTAGTTGCTGGTCGACTTCACATAGTTTTCACGAATAATTTGACTTTGAACAAAGAAGGAAAAGCATCATACAAGAATGAAAGAAAATAGAAAAAAAGGAAAAGAAAAAAAGGAGAGTAAAATGGATGATGAAATAGCAGAGAAAACAAAGAATGTAAGAAAGAAAAATGAAAAGATGGGGGGGAAGAAACGGAAAAGAATTATATCAGAATGAAATAAAAAGGAATAAGAGAGAAAGAGTTATTTAAAGAAAGAAAAAATGAAATTATAAACAAACAGAAAAGAAATATTCCACAGAAAAGAAAGAAAATCTAGTCAGAAAAAAAAGAAAGATGAAAATCATAAAGAAAGAAAGAAAAAAAAAGAAAGTAATAAAAAGACAAAGAAGAAAAAAGAAAGATGAAAATCAGAAAGAAAGAAAGAAGGAAAGAAAATGTAGTCAGAAAAAAGTAAGGAAAAAGAAAGTTGGAAATCAGAAAGAAAGAAAGAAAGAAAGAAAGAAAGAAAGAAAGAAAAGGAAGTGATAAAAAAGACAAAGAAACAAAAAGGAAAAGAAAGAAAGAAGGTAAGAAAAGCTAGTCAGAAAAAAAGAAAGGAAAAAGAACGATGGAAACCAGAAAGAAAGAAATAAAGTGGGTGGGGGGGTAAAAAGTCAAAGAAGAAACCAAAAGGAAGACAAAAATCATAAAGAAAGAAAGAAGGAAAAAAAAGGTAGTCAGAGAAAATAAAAAAAAGGAAGATCAAAATCATAAAGAAAGAAAAGGAAGTTATAAAAATACAAAGAAGAAGCAAACGAAATGATGAAAATCATAAAGAAAGGGGAAATAAAAGTTAATCGGAAAAAAAGAAAGAAAAATAAAGATGAAAATCATAAAGAAAGAAAGAACAAATGAGCACAAAAGATTAAAATATAGTCAAGGAAAAACATAAAGGTAGATATAGAGAAAGAAAAAATAAATATAAGGGGAAAAAAATGAGAGTGAAAGAAACCGAAAAGAGGAAAATATAAAAAGAAGTTGAAGGAAAAATTGATAAAAAGAACAAAAAAAATCTGAAACGTCGTGAAAGAGAAAAAGTTTTAAAGGAACGAAGTATAGAAAAACTGAAGCAAAAGAAGGAAAACGAAAAGAAAAACTTAATAAATAAAACTGAATTGAAAAAAGAAAAAGAAGAGATAAGAAACTTGATAAGAAACAAAATGGGGTAGAATGTAAAAAACGGAAAAAAATTGGAACGAAAAAAAAAAGAAGAAAAATAGAAACCAACAAGAAAAACAACGAATAAGTGAGAAATAAAGAAAAAAGAAAAGAGCGAATGAAAAAAAAAACTAAATTAGAAAAAAGAAAGGGTAGAAAGGAAGAAAGAGGAATAAAAAGAAAAAAAGGAAAGAAACATTTGGAGGGAACCGTTACCTTTTCCCCAGTTTTTTTTTTATAAATGACATTTTAAAAGTTTCTATTTATTTACTTGTATAAATGTTTTTTTCTCTGTGCGTATATTCTTTTGCCTGTGTACGACGCCATTTTGCGTGTGATATTCACATTCTGTTCACGATGTAGATAGCAACTTTGAAGTTTTACCCGGGAGTATATTGAAAAGCTATCACTCAAATCCGTGGCAGAATTTCTACGATGCAATAGCTTACGAGAAAGTTTCACTTGCCATTTATACTAAGTTCGGGTCTTACAAGATGCTCTACAAGTATAATCCTGTGCAAAAATGGAGACATATAAAGGTGCTCCAATAACTTGGACCGATTTTAAATGTGGATTAAGTTTAAGCGTCTAATGATTTTTTTTTCTTTTTCTTTCAAATTTAACAACTTATGTCTTTGGCAATTTCAACCATGGAAAGAGTAACAATCAAACAACGTGTTAAAGTTATCGATGCCTATTACGAAAATGGACGTTCAAACAGAAATGCAATGAGAATTTCCCAGGTCGCACCATCTCTCGAAACAGCGAAATAAACTGTTCACCGCAATCGTGCAAATTGACGCCTTTAGATTTCTTCCTAAGTGTAAGTGGGGTCATCTCAAAAGTAAGGTCTATGCCAATAAGCCAACAACAATTCAACAGCTGAAAGATGAGATAATAAGACATATTGGTGAGATCGAGGAACGACTATGCAGAGACGTCATCAAAAATTTTGACCATCGAGTGGAAGTATGCCTTCGAAGACCTGGCGAACATTTGGGTGATATTATTTTTGACACATAATTGCCATGACTTAAATAACATGATCCAATAGAGAAATAAATAAATTTTTACCAGTAACATGATTTATTTACTGCTGACTTCGATCCGTCTTAATGAAACACCCTTTATTTCATGATTTTTGGGGGAATAAATTTTTTTTCAAATAAAAAAGTTATGATTTCTAAAGCGGTTTTGATTCTTATGCCTACTCTTAGAAATGTTTTTTTTATTTCAAAGAAAATGTTCATAGCAACCGAATATTTTTGTCATTGTTTCCCCTAGATGTAAAGTTTGATTGTTTGTTTTTACATAAAGAGGAAAGTTTTTATATTAATGACGATTAGATTTATATTTAAGAGAAGTTTTTGTTTATTTCATTTTCTTTAATTGATAGCGAAACTTCGCTTCCGTTATCCAATGCTACATTTCGTTTGAGTGCGCTATTAGATCGGTTAAAATGGTTTCTTCTTAGTTGGTATTAGGAAAATGTTATGGTCCGGTTCCTTGTACCACGGTGATAGTCCAAGGTAGAACCAATAAAGAAGAACTCGAACACGGATATGGAATAACACAGATATATTACAAAACAGGAATATATACAGAGAAGTAGAAAGGGTTAGTACGAACAATCAGGGTTAGTAGTAATTGCCTGAATGCGACTGTGGTTCGGACTGCCTCTGACTCGACTGACAGACTCGTTCGCTCTGACTGACTGACAAACTCCTGACGGACCTCACTCCAGACTTCAGACTGAACAGTATTTAGTCACCCCCCCCCGACACACACGAGGTCATCATGTGGCACAAGGCCAGTTTAACGTGGGATCTCCGAGCCCGTGGGCTCGGCCAAAAATATGCCCTTTGAACCCGTATAAACGGGTTCAGGGTCGGTTTACCTTCCCGAAAGAGACTCCGCCTCCGGCATAGCTCGTTCGGGTTCCTCCCCGCCCGAAGGCAGAGAGTTCAACCGATCAGCCGGTCAGCCGGTCGCCCGACTTCAGGCTGGACTCCCTGCTTCCTCTTGAGGCGCAGTATTTATTACTTATGGAATAGTCCATTATGTTATTATGGGTAAGGTACCATAACAGAAAGTTTAGCTGTAATTAAGTTAATTAAAAATGATCGTTTTTATTGCATTTTGACAGCTTTCATAACCAGCGTGCTTATTTTAACTTACTAGAATTGACGTATTTTTCGAAAAAAAATGTTTTTAGAAGGATCTGCATTGTTATCGGTCCTGATCTGGTATCTCTGGCTTCAGTAAGTTTCCTACCTCTTCTATAAATATTTTCACGGTAATTGATCTGGTGAGCTTCAGTACTAGGTTGACAGTTAGGTATCATAATTTCATTGTTGCAATTGCTTGCTGTGACCATAAGTTCTATGCTAAGATTTTATTCTCTAACAATTCACGCTTGTGGAACTCTCTGCCGACTTCTCGCTTTCCTGTTAACTACGATCTTTAAAAAATTAAATGCAACGTTAATTGTCATCTTCTCTCTCTGTTCATGAATTCTGGTTTCTTGTCATTAACAGTCAGTCCTGTCTTTCCATTATTATGTTGAAAAATGAAAGGGTAGAAAGGAAGAAAGAGGTGTTCTTTCTGTGTATTTCTGTAACTGCTTGATTTTAACGTTTCCTGTATGTAACTCACACTTTTAGCTGTCTCTTTTGCTGGCAACCATGTTTTCTTACAGTTAATCTTTCGTTCTCGCTTCTCTCTTTTCTAGACAGAAAAATTCGCAACAAATTCACCAGGATGTTTTAACTCATTCACCAAATCCTCCACGTTGGTATTACCATCTAATCCAATTTTTACAGAAATTACTAAATGACGGAAAAATCACGTCCCTTCGGAAAAGTTACAAAGGTCCATTCCAAGAATTTTTTTAAAAAAAAAGCGTTACTGCCTATATATCGTTCAATAATGTTAATGTGGAAACTATAAAACATTTCTTTTAGTTTGGCTTTATAAAGCAAACGAATTTTTTATACCAAAATGCAGAGTATACTAAATGCCAGCTAGGTATTTAACAGTGACATAATATATTAGATTATTCATACATTTTATTCCTTTTTCAGAACATAAGGAAATTTCTCATGGAAAAAATCCACATTTGAAAAAAGAACCAAAATCGTGGAATTGAAAAATAAAATAAAAATGGCACTGGAATGAAAATTACGAGTGAACCGTATCAGGTCATGATCGTGACCTTTCGTGTCCAGAATTGGACAACAAACCTGAGGTGTGATTTCAACAAGATGGAGTCAATGTATTCACCACTCAGGCAACGACGGAACATCTAAGGCAAACTTTTTAGTCGCTGGATAATTTTGCGAAATTCCGATATGTTATGGCCGTTCTGATCTGTCATCTCCCGATTTATTTTACTATATTTTAAAGAGCATGTATATAAAAGTGTACACAACAACAAACCATAGGGAATTCAGCTTGTCAAGGAAAGTCTGTGAAGAAATTAGAGGATTGCCTCCAGAGAATATTGTCGAAAGAGTGCATCTGTGTGAAGTCAAAAATGTATATTTACATAGTATAGTATTTCGCAATGAAATGGGAATGAATTTTCATTTTTTTTTTAATTTCATTCTGTAAAAAGTATTTTTAAATAATAATGAGAAATGTTGACATTACTGCATTTTTTTTTTTTTTTAAATCCCAAGGTTATTTCTGGAACACTCTGGATTCTTGAACCTATTTCTTTTCATTTATCACCGCCTAGAGTCATATCAATAGGAAACATAATATTTTAAGATAATCGATCTACTGCGTTTAATGTTCACTTTTTATCTATTAGTTTTGAGAAACATCGACGAACGCCATTTCAACGCCAAGGTTGGATTTTTCACATATTTCTTGCATATGTTTATTTAAAACTACAAATTCAGTATGTAACTTATAAACGTGACCTATTCTCAAGGACAAGATTTTTATATTTAGCCTTATAAAAACAGTGTCAAAAATTCCCAAACATATGTTACGTATTTGAAATATAAACAAAAAGGAAATAAACAAGCGCATGGCCGATGCCCGGCTTATGAATCTGAACAGAGATTATCTGCAGTTCCTAGCAGTTAGCTATACGAAATGAGCTGAATACTTTCCACTGATAATAGTTGAATATTGTAGTATCATTCACTTAAAATATAAGAGTCCAGAACAATATTCGTCTAAAGTCGCTTATAGTTCAGAAGGAGACAATTAATTGTGGTGGCTGGAAGCACACCTTTTTTTTTTATTCCGTTATTACCCTCTGCCTAAAAGTAAAGCGTCCTCAACGAAACCTAAGGAATAAAAGACATTTTATATCTAAAAAGACATGTGCGTACTTTCCTTAAATTTTAACATTCTGGGCAAAACAAAAATTAAGTCCTGCCACTGCAATTGACTCAGATGAATGAATGCTAGTTTATTTGAATTTTGCAAGTTGTGTTGTCATATCCTGCTACGGCAACAGAAAATGATTATGACTGAAATTAAGTAGTGCAGTAGGGGATCATTGAAAAACAATGCAGCGGAAAGGAAAGTAGTGAATGATGCAGTGCAGTAAAAGTTAATTACAACCTGACTTTTTAAAAAAAACTTCCATTATCATGATATATATATATATATATATATATATATATATATATATATATGCATGAGAGCATGCGTGTATGTGCTCTGTGAGTGTTGAATACACACAAATGTACTTTGAGCAGATGTCTGCGACGAGGAATTTGTTAGCCGCCCTAGTAGACAGATATGCTCAGAATGCGTAGATAACAATATATATATATATATATATATATATATATATATATATATATATATATATATATATATATATATATATATATATATATATATATATATATATATATATATATATATATATATTGTAAATTTAGGCAGAAATCCTTCATTTATAGATGTTTCATTGAAGACGAGTTCTAATAGAGCTGTGGTCGGATAGGTGCAACGTAAGACGTCTGAATAGTCATGTAATAGTGTGACCGATGTAATTATTTATGAATTCGGTTTGATCAGGAATACAGTCCCTTAAGGGACATTTGAACTCATAGATAATGTTCATTCGTTGTAATTTTGTTTTTGTGAATTGTTATTTTAAAACCCATTTAAACACACACAATCTTACCAGAATTCATCCGAAACATACTAGTAGAAAATACAAGCATAATAACCTCATCCATATGTAA